GAACAAATTATGATGCTTAATCTGCGTCTATGTTTATTCCGAACATTAACAATTGATAATAAAAAAGTAATATATAATTTATATTTTTAAAAAAACTTGAATAACACTTAGATTGATCAAATACAGCTTAAAATCTTTACCACGAGTCAGACAGGATATTGTAAGACAAGAGGTAAAAGTTATAAATAACGGCATTACATTTAGTAACTCAACGACTTGGCTTGGCTTCAGCTTTTCAATATCTTCTTTAGAAAATTTATTGAATTTAATACTAGATTTACAAACTTCATTGTATGGTTTATTTTGTTCTTAGAAGAATTTATGCTCCTTCATTTAGATCTTAGAAATCAAGGATTTAGAAGTAGACTATTAAAATACATATTTTTGTAATTGCATGAATCGCAACCACCATAACGGTCTGACACGATATTGTAAGTCAGGGGTTTTCAAATCTTCAAGTCTCGTCATATGTCAAGGGGTTAAAGATCGCCGTGACGGCGAGTGTATTTTTCGAACCCTCTAATATTCGTCTCCGAGATCGGCCGGTTAAAATCCGTGTTCCGCGCGGCGGGTATCGGAGGAAGGGCCGATAACCGGTCGCCGTTTATCCGACACGTATGCATATAACCGTAAAAACGTGGGAAAAAAGTCCTATGGTCGAGCGTAGATAACGCTTTATGCGAAACAAACGGTCCTGCAAGGTTCATCTCGGTCACGAGTGGGCGCATTTGCATGCATACAGCCGGCGGCTCGTACTAACACGGACGGCGGCCTGGATCCCCCCTGTTCACCCCGAGAGCGTCGTCGAGCGTTTTCGTGAAACGGTATCCCGAGGCTTACCATCGGCGCCGGCCAGCCTTTCGAGCCCCGGATATCGTTTAGAGCACACCCGGGGAACCGACAGACCGTCATAAACGTACACCGGGAGGGGACAGGCTGGGCGAAAATTGTCAATTGGGGAATCTCTGAACAATAACTTTGAACGCAACAATTTGTCCGGATTTTTCGTAACGGTCCTTGAACCGATTACCGGGCAGCTCTCAGTTCTATTATCAAAAACTCTATTTTTCGTGTATCACGTCCGAGGATGTAATCACTTTTAACCCGATCCTGTTGGGAATATAGCATTGATTGGCAGCTGAATTGGGGATGGTTGGGTTGTAACGCGAGAAGCGGAGATCGGTTGTTATTGACTATCGTACATATTTGTTTGTATAGCTCTGAGCGAATTTACTTCGTTGGTTTGTTAATGCTTTCTTAATTTGTTTGTAGAAGTATAGGATTTGTTTGTGAATACACTTAGTATAATTAGGAAACGTATTGTTTATTAGTCAGTTTCGTGATTTGTAGATTTGTAGATTGTAGATGAGGTGCATACTTTTTGAATACAGCTATGATGAATAAAAAATAATATTAAGCTCTCTTTATTGGTGGATAATGAATTAGTTAAGAAAGGTAATTGTTAAGATGTCTAATTAGATGATACGTTAAGAGCCAATAGGAAATACATTAGTAGAAAAATCATCATATTATGAAAGCGTTTCTTTTTTAGGTCCAATTTCGATGTATTTTCAATAATATCAATAATTCTCGGCTAAGTAATATACAAATGTCTATGCTTTGAAATTCTGTCTTCGTAAGGAAACGTACAAGAAAACTGAAAGCCAGAACTATGGAGAACATCAGTCGTGTCCTATTGAGGATATTAAGCGCCTATTTCGAAGCAAAGATTTTATATTTAATCGATACAAATAGCCAGAAGAAACTTCATAATCGTTGAAGATAGTATAAAATCGGACGAGTGCTTCCTGGCTGAGGGCCACGAACGAACTGCCTCGTGGAAATAACAGTTTATTAGACTTTCTCGTGGTAAACGATAGCTGGATGGACTTATCTGAAAAAACTGGATGGAAGCAAGTAGATGTCGAACGGCAGTGACAACGTACCACTAAAAATGAAAAAAGTTTCTAATCCATAAGAGTCGTTTCATCTGTTCACTCGTTTCGAAAGTCCAATCAAAGGATTTTAGGAAACTCGAGCATTAAAACTAGGTGGCGCGAGCACACCGCGCGCGTCGATTCGAAACACGATCCAGAACTGGCGAAAAAAAAGAGGAAATCCGCTGATGTGATTTCCCACGAAGAGCTACAGTGACGCGTAAGTAACCCACACACGTGTCATGCAACGAAATCAGTCCAGTTGACGGATTACTTCGTGGATAGTGAATTTTTAGCACGCGCTCCGGTGCCTGGCAGACAACAAAATCTGAATCGAGCACCATTCGTCGAATGAAATAACACGCGAGGTTAAAACGGAGACATCCAAATGTCCAGAACTTTCGTAGGAAACAATTATCGAAGATAAAGCTTCGAGCAGCTCGATTCAGCACAATTTGTAGATTTCTGTATTTGATGAATTGATCAATACATCGTTTCAGTATACCATTTGAAGCTTGCCAAAATTAAGTTCTAATTTTGTTTTACTCGATTGAGACATTTTTAACGAATACATATTGTTACTATACAAATGTGAAAATTACTTCAGTGTTCAGTGTTTTTAATTAGAAACAGATGTTCTATATCTATATTACATTACATATATAACTAAGGAAACAAAAAACGGGAGAAAGAAAAACAATATAACATAAACCTCTAGATCAAGGTAAAGGATTGAAAATTAGCACAGAATATA